AGTCCTGGCAAGGCTACGCATTGGTCATAGTTTTTTAATCCATCGTTTTTTTTATCAGGTATTCACCCACCGATACGTATCCATCGTGACACTCAAGTCAAAATAGCCCACATTTTACTGTCATGCCGTCGTTACGACCATGAGAGGCGGCACCATTTTAGACACATTTTTTCTAAAAGTTTACCCCTGGCACTGGACAGTGTCATTGGTAATGGTGACACTGTCCGACTAGATTGTATTTTTAATTTTTTACACACTATACGTCTTTTTAATTCTATATAAATCTTTTACCGACATGTATTGATTTTAACTCGCTGTTTTTTTACATTTTACTTTAACCTACTTTAATTGCCTTTGCTGGTTGTTTGGCACAGATAGCCTAGGTGCTTTGCACCATAAAACACCAACCAACCAACTTTTTGCACTTTCTAAATATTATATGTGGCTCAGTGTGGTTCACAAATACTGGACTAGGACAACGTGAATGTTGTTATGTTTTCTTACAAAATAAGAATAAGATGCTTCCATCTGTTAAGCAGTGGTTTTAAACTATGAGAACAAACATTAATAACTATGCACTTAAAATTTATGTTGTTTGGTTAATATTATGATAGGTTGTACAGCTTTTGGTTGGATGACACTTCAAGGAAAAAAGAGTGAAGGGACAGACATGCATAGCAAAGTTGCTGCATCTGTTGGTGTTAACCGAGACCATGCAAAGGTTAGCAGAGAAATTGGATTTATTGCCAGTTTTCAGTATTGTAGATCATATATACAAATGTTTAGGTAGAACTCTGTATTTGACATTGTTTTACAAAGACTTAATGAGAAAGAAAACGTGTCGATTTCCTAACAAAAGTGTTTATTGCTTACTTCTTTGAACTATTTTAGTCTAACTATAATTTATTGTAGGTTTACTTCTGGGTCTTTAAAACAAGAAGTAGGTTACATCTAACTTAATAATATAAGCCTTTTTTTTTCACTCTACTGATAATATTGATAACAGTATGATAAATTTTTAATAGAACTTTATCTGAATTTTACCTTTAACTCTTTGAATCCTTCACTAACTTTCCATTCTCTCATAACTCATTTTTCTATACTATCTGTTTCTATCTACAAGTCTGGTTTTACATCCTGTTATAATACTAAATGTTTCTTCCACAATTTCAGTTCTTTAGTTGGGAATATTTAGTTGTTGTTGTTTTGTTCGTAAACATAACAATACAGAAAAATTATATCTGTTATTTGCCATCACATATTTACAACAGTGATAAATTATTTATATTACAACAACATGATTAGTACTGTATAAAATCACAGTAACAGAGAGGTCTGGAGGAAACTTCCTAGTGTGTAAATTTTAATATGCAGAGATGAATCCTACATAACACATTGAGTATTATCAGTACTAATACTTTGCAACTGAACATACACTTGACAAATTGATTTTGCAGTTTAAAGCCAAATATTTAGGTATAATTTGAAACTACATACACTTTGTATTTAATGTTAAACTTTTATATGGCTATGTGTACAAATACTGGAGGGATAACTATATTATTGCTCAAGTTTATAAATAAAGATTCTCTGGAATCTTCACTGTCAAAGTGACATATATATGAGATTATATTTGCATAGTCATGTTTTTGTTTTGGCCTATGAGTCAAATAATTCATCCTATTTTTTGTTAATTACTTCTGTACAGTAACTTGAATCTTGTAAATTCACAAAGTATGTAATACTGTAAGGCACAATTCAGTTCTTTTTAGGTGTTTATGAAACAATGTATCAAATACACATCATCAGCCATTCATTCTGAAGAATAAAATAGAAAATTGCAGTTAAGTAAGAAGCATGATAAAAAGAGTGCAATTTTATAGGTGATAAATTATGGAAGAATATATGGAGCAGGTCGATCTTTTGCTGAGAGACTACTCATGCAGTTCAACCACAGATTAAGTATGAAGGAAGCAAAAGAAAAAGCAAGGAAGATGTATACTGAAACAAAAGGAGTTAGAAGGTTTGTTTATAGCTAACTGAACGTTTTTTGTTTTTTTTATGGTGATTGACAATATAGGAAGGTTCTCTTCTTTCTTGAGAATATACTCTGGTTTGAGACCAGGTGTGGCTTAATAGTTAGCATGCCCAGATATGAATCCAGATTCATGGTTCATGATGACCTATTATCACAAAAATATGATCTGCACATTGGAGCTGTGAGTGCATTATAAGTGTGATGGTTAAATCCCACAATTCAATAGGATAAGAGTGGGCTAAAATTTGGTGGTTGGTGCTGTTGCCTTCCCTCTAGTCTTTCAGTTCAAATTAGGGATAACTGTGCACAGACAACCCTTGTGTAGCTTTGCACAAAATCCTGAAACTAGAGTTTTCAAACTGATTGATGCCTATGCTGCTACACTCATTTGAAAAATCTTCCAATGCATACTTTCTGAACTAAATTTATAACTTAAAGAAATATATATATATATATATTATTGTGATTGTAAAGTCTAGATAAATACACAAGTTTCACAGTGGTGAAAAATTGTTTAATTACAAAACAAACTTTTTTTTTAAACAAGAAGAAATAATAAAAATATAGCATTTTCTGACCCTCATACTTACAAACAAGCAGTAGAAGAAATCAGAAAGGAATTGACTTAGATCTTAACCTGCTACTGGCCTTATTAGGTAACATAATTATACTCATATTAACCCTGTGTGCATGGGTGGAGATCAGAGTGCACGACCTTTTACATATTGTGTTTTTGATGTCAGTTATGAACTATTCATTGTACTCTTTATTGCTTATTTAGCAACAGTTCATGATAGAGGATAAAAGAAAGTATATATCAGATACAGTATAAAGGGACTGAAAAAACTAGATATGCATTTCAGGTTATGCAGATGTAATATACATTCTGTACTATTTGTATTCTTCACACAAACTCCGACATGTCTGAGGCAGACTTACATCATCAATTTCCAGGCATATCTTGAGTACAAATACTTTCGTAATACATCAGGTTTTTTTGTCCAATGGACAGACCCCATGCATGTTCAGTTAAACACCTGTCATGTCAAATTTATATTTTGTTTCTTTTATTTATCTATCAAAATAAGTTCATTAAGTAAATTTAAAAGCATGGTGGTTTTTTTGTTATTAAAATACAATGTTAATGATTTTGTTTGCAGATATCTTCTTGAAGATTATGGTGGATATGAAGTTATCCTTCATTCCAGGGATGATGAAACTTCTCCAAAGATTTGGGTTGGTGGAAGGTATGGTCTTAGACTATACAAATATGAATATTTTTTTGCTTCAGTAATTTTACACAGTATTTCATGTTCAACTGCATGACACAAGGTAAAGGTTTAAATTATGGTAGCTGTGTAACCCTTTCTGGACTGAAAGAATGTCACCGATATTCCATAATTTTCTTTCGCTCTCTCACTGGAAATACATAACCAAATGGCATGAAGTTTAGCACAAAGTTACTAAATGGTATCCATTTTTGACTTTAAATAATTCATATATTTCAATTGTTTTTCTATCATTTTATATGTTGTGAAATTTAAAAAAGAAAATTATTTTGATGTGCTGTTTTGAAAAAAACATTAATTATAGTACCTTTAACTTTAGAATTTCAATTTTTTATAATGTTGATTACATGGTTTCATTCTATATATTCGATCAGTTTCAACTTGATTGATTGATATTCATAAACATATTTTTGATACAGTAGTCATCACTTTTGGCTTTAGATTGTAAAAACAAAAACTGCTAAAACTAACAAAAATGTATTGGTGATGTAGGACCTGAATAGCACCACATCAGACTAGGTAACAACATTTATACTAACAGTATTCTTGATGAAGATTAATCTATAACTAATGTCGATGCTGGCTCAAGTTCAAAAATTGAAGGGTGGAAAAATAAAAACTTGTGCCCTTTTTCAAATTTTTATATTGTTATTATTTTTTTTTTCTGTGCTTTACAAAAGTTTAAATAATTTTTCTGAATTCATAATACAAAGTACAAAATGGTACATAGTAGAAAAATACATATAACATAAAGATTAGTCTTAAGAAAATGGAAATTTATGAGATTTTTAACATGGAAAAACTTTTCATTAATTTGTCCATATTAATTTCTCGTGGCCATTTGATTTTCTATAGAAATTACTGCTAGACCATTTAATTTATCTTGTCCCATTATGGAACACAAAAAATGTTTTTATCAAATTTACTCACAAAAACGATCTTTCTCTACTTCTCGCACTGATGGCAAAGTTAATAAAATTCTTAGAGCAATAAATGTACTTGGAAAAAAAGTTTTAATCTGATTTTCACATATATATAATATGACCTTATCTGAAACTGAATTTTCTGGTATTCAATGTGATATTAATGTAAGTTCTGCACACAAACTTTCACCACAAGTATCCCTTTTCTCGTTGCTTGTTAGTATTTTTACACTCTTTGTGCCCCTAAAATTTTGCAGTGGGTTCTTTGAGCTTTTCGAACTTGCTTTGAACTGGCCCTGTCTTTTGAATAAATTATAAGCTCTTACATTTATGTGCATTGTTTGGACATGATAAATATATAAAGATAATATTTAATAAATAAGGATTTCAATCATTGGAGCATTTTACAATAACCTATTGTACTCATTAAATCTAATTAACATTACCTGATGTTTTGTCATGGAAAATTTTAGTAGCTTTTAAAATATTTAATATTTTCAGTAACACCAAAAACATCTCAGGTCTATATTCTAAATTTATTTTTCAATTTAAAATATAAACTTATGCTTTGGGATTCCAAAACAAACATTCATAGGTGTATATACAGGCAAGGCTTCTTAGAACTATGCAGAAGTGTAAGTTTGAACATTGTTCTAGTTTTTTTTTTGTAAAATACACTAAATAAATGTTACAAAATGTCAATTATAAAATATTTTTGAATTCAAATTTATTAATTTATAGAAATGCATATATGAACTCGACACATAAAAGGTACTCTGTGGCCCAAAAAGGGTTAAGTTATTGTTTTTTTTTATATATTCACTATTAATGGATAAGAGGCTAAGCCCTATTTTGTTATTTAAAGCTGAATTCAGGTGGACAGTCACAAACATTTGTATTTTCATTATTGTTATGCACTGTATATCTACATACATGTATAAAGTTTTTTATTTCAAAATGAGGTTTTAAAATACACTAATCTGTATTTTTGGAGGAATTCATCTTAAGATGATGTTAGTAAACTAGAAGTTGTAACTTGCTTGATTCTCACAGTTTTTAAAATAAAAAATTGAGCAACAAACAATAATATGAACTTGATCAGTCTTAAACTTTAAACAATTTAATTTGAAAGGCAACAGATAAAAATAGTTCTAAAAACCAAGTAATGATACACACATATGAAAAACAAAAAATTATCCTTTTGTAAGCTGATAGTGTGCAAGATTTTGTGCTTTGGTATTATAAGTATCTAGGAATGAGAAAAATAGTAGTTTTGGTCTGATTTGGGTTATCCAGCTCCTGATATCCAATCAAACTCGGATATGTTCAGATTGCATTATAGATTTTCCCATATTTATTGAAAATGTGGCACAGGTGAGAGCTACCACTTCATTATATATAGTATAGTATTAACTAGTTACTTTGTTTTGTTTTTTTTCATATAACAATAATGGACAATTCCACTTGAGTGAGTGACCATTGTTGGCCACCTACAGTGATTTACATTCCTGTAGTTTGGATTGTGCTTGCCATTGCTGTTACAATGGCAACACAATGATTGGGCATAATGTTTATTGAAACTACATAACAACTGTCTGTACTATGACTTATTAGAAATATCAGGACTTCCACTCTTTAATACTGGGTAAAATGCTTCTATGTTCAGAAACTTGTATTTGGTTAAATGGTGTAATACATATTACATGTGATGCATGTGCAAATAGTGTGATAGTATGATATAGTCCATTGATGGAATAGCTATCTGATATATATATTCCTCTCAAATTAATATCCGATCAGAATGAATTTCTACAGATAATGCATTACAAAACTGATTAAATACAAATACTTGCTAACAAAGACTCGTTTGTTTTAGGGTTGGATGGACATACAAACTGAACAGTTGGTAAATCTATAGAGTTCACAAGAGCGTCAAATAAGCAGGAGAAAAAAAGTTTTAATGGCAGCTTAGAATTTGACATAAAAAATATTTTAATGGCATCTTAGATGCAAAATTGGTATAATAAAAATTCTAAAGTAATTATAACAGCTATGTATGTAAAGTTCAGTTTCACAGAAGATTAACTTTTTTAATTACTTTGTTGCGTCATCGAGATCACGTGACTATTCTCACG